CACTTTTTTTCTTATTGTTCCTCTATTTCACTGATTCTTTCTTCCTTTAATTCAATTCTATTTCTATATCCTTCCATTGAGTTAACTATTTCTGTTATTTTATTGTTAATCTTCTGGATTTCTAGTTATCTTTGTATGGTCTCTAATTGTCTATTTATTTTGTCATTTTGCCTTTGTATTATTTTTCTGAATTCTCCTAGGATTTTGTTTGTGTTTTCCTTGATCTTTTCGAAGATCCTGCATATAAGTCTTTTGAATTACTTATCAGGTAGTTCTATTACAATTCTTCCTCAGGAAGGTTTTCTGATTTTTTATTTTGTTCACTTGTTTGTGCCATCTTATCCTGTTTCTTCATATGATGTATTATTGTCTGCTCTGTCTGAGACCTTAAGGTGTTAATTTATTTATTTAGATATTTCTTTATTAATTTGAAATGCTTGTTTTGTGCTGATTTTTGTTGTTTTGTTTTGATGTATTGGTGCTTTGTTTCTTTTTTTCTCTTTAGAATATTTTTTTTTCCTTTGTAATATTTTAATTGTTGTTGTTTTGGAATTCTGGTCTGTATGCAACTATTTTGTCTCACTGGTGAGTATGGTGGGTCACTACCATTTGCGAGTTTTCAGTGGTTAGGTTTATATGTTCTTCCTTACATATAAGTATATGAGTGGATGTGGCAGAACAATCTCTTTTACTGATATTGAGTGAAAAGTATTGGATCATAAGGGTCCCTCCACAGCCCTTGTGTGACCATGGTGTCCTTCCAGGTTGATGCTAGCAGTAAGTGCATTTTCTGGAGGTCAGGGCAGAATGTCTCTGTGCCCACTGTGAGGTAATGCTACTCAAATGGATGATGTAGGCTTGCTGCACTTGCACTAATTGACATCTCAGTAGGGGATGGGTATCAAGGGTTTTCAGTGCAAGCGCACATGGCCTGCAGGAACTATTTGAATGTAGGATGTGTGACATTGTAGCTGTATGAATGTTCGACAAGAACACTAGGATCTCCTGCTCTTCATTTGGCAGAGGTGCAGATAGTGCTTGTTAGGATGTAACTGGCATTGCTAATGGAATAATTTCTCTATCCAGGTCACTGAGGCATGAGTGCAGGGAGTTGTTTTGGCTACCTAGTGCCACTCTGACAGAAATAGACCACAAATGGGATAGCCCGAATAAATAGGGATTTATTCTCCTACAATTTTGGAGGCTAGAAGTCTGAGGTCAAAATGCCAGGCTCTAGGGACTAGGTGAAAGCCCCTGAACCTTGGGCTTCAGCTCTGCCTCTTACTCCCAGCCTACTGAAGCTGGAGGCTTTTCTTCACTCAGGTAGCTGCTGGATGCTGAAGCTGTCAAGCCCAAGTTCAACAAATAAAATGGCATAGTCCTGATATTATCAAACCACATGACAGGCCATTGATTCAAGCCCTGAAAAAGTCCCAAGATTGGCATGGTGACATGACAGGCTGCTGAGCAATGACATGGCTACATGAAGGGTTCAAGAGTGCCATAAGCTAGATACCTTCCTCAAAGCTGCTTCTTATATACTGGAAGCAGAACATATTCCCAAAGCAGCTACTCAGTTGCTCCAGTAGATGCCACCACAGAATTGATTGCCAATCTCACCATGGGTAATAACTACATCCAGCTGCCCAGCTACTCAACCAAGCCCAGCCAAGTTGACACATAACCTTAACTACCACTGGAGTGTTCTCACCAGTTATTGGGTTGGGCACTGTGTGTGTGTCTCATTGCCAGGTGTTTGGGTATAGGGTGTACCACTGGACATTGGTTGGGTGACATGGGACCTCCAGTCATGGGGTAGGTGGGGCAGCAGGAGTGGGGGTGACAGTCTCAAGCCTCCAGTCACTAGTCTGATGGTGGGAGTGCACATCATTGATCACCAGGCATGCAACATGGCTTTGAGGTGAGTGGAGCAGGCATGATCCTCCAGTTGCAGGTTAAATGGATTGGCAGTGCCTGGTGCATACTGCCAGGTAGCAGTGCAGTGAGGAGATGGACAGAGTAGTTGCAAGCCTCTGGTAGCAGGTCAGAGGGCATGGGAAAACATGCCATAGATTGCTAGGCATGTAGAGAAATTGGATATGCTGCTGGTCACCAGGAGAGGAGGTAGAAGGGGAGAAGAAGGGGTAGAATGTCCCTTCAATCTCTAGTGTGGGTGTCAGGGAACCCCTAGTAGAGTGCAGCCACCATTCAGTACTTAGCCCTGACCAAATGCAGGAAGGGGTTTCTGTCCAGAGTCCATTCAGGTGGGGAAACTGTAGCTGCCAATCCAAGGATCCTTCACTCCACCAGCACCACTGGCCTGAGTGATCAGAGGACCATTGGTGGTAAGTATTTTCTGGCTCCTTCTCGGTTCTTTTATCACCTTTGACTCCTCTTGCTCTCACCAGCCTTTTGTTTTTTCACCTTAGCTCCAGGTCATGTTCTGCTCATCTTGCTTCAGGTTTGTCTACACAGCATTTCTGATTCCTATTGAAGATTCCATGAAGTTGCCCTCTGTGCTCCTCACCCAGAAATACTACTTACTTTGTCTCAAGATGACCACTTTGTGCTGGGCTGGCTGGCAGGGTGCCTACAGTCCATAGTCTCCTCATTTGCTCTTTTCATTCAGTTTCTTCTTCACTTCAGTGTTCTAGCTAATTCTTCATCCTTCTATGTGCTGCTCTGGGTTCTCAGATTTTCATTTGTATTTTTTTCACTTGGATTCTTATTTCTTTGCTGTAGGGGAGTGGCATGATGTATTTGACTAAGCTGCTATCTTGGGTCATCTTCTGACCCTATATATTTGTGGTCTTCCTTTACACAGGGAGTTATAAGTATGTCAGAAGTCCTGCTCTACCTTCAGCTGGATTTGTTCTCCTGAACAAACATTATTGTGTCCTCAAGTAAACATTTCTCATGATTATTCAAGCAAATAAGGGTAGATAAGCTTTAGATCTGATCTCATCTATTAATTAATTAACAATGATTACCTTATACTGTATGTAGGTACTGTGCTACAGCAATGAGACAGATAGACTAAGACCCTAAATTCTATTAGCTACACAATGAAAAATAAAATAAAATCATTTTCATTGGTGATAAATATGAAGATATAATGACAAGATACAATGATAAAGAATAAAGGGACAGGAATAAAGTGGTCGTAGAATACATAGTACATGACACTAATTATAAAAGAGTTTTATGAGGAAGTGATATTTTAGAGGTGCTGCAAGACAAATCACTAGCCATAAAAATTTCAGGGAGAGAACATTCTAGGCAGAAGGGAAAACAGGTCAAAGGACAAGAAATGGGTCTAAGTTCCAGGAATAGGAAGAAGGCCATTTGGTCAGAATATAACCAAAGAAAGGAAAATGGTTCTATCATAAAATGCCATTTTTCAGTCCAGAGTTGACAGTGTTTAGCATATCGAATAGTCAACTTTCAGGGTTAGTAAAGGAAAAAAAAAAATGCACTATTTTATATTTAAGTAATTCCTCAGGGTGAAGGAAAAAAAGAACTATTATTTTTCCAATTCTGTGGATGGCCATAGTTGTGATTCATAACAATATCAATTCAACTAGAGTCTAATCTGTAATGGACATTGCTCTTATTGTCTTATCAGTTTCCTTCTTGTTTCTATTAACAATCACAGGAAAGCAAGTGCGAAAGTAATACTAATAGAAAAAAGAAAACTGAAAAATAAACACCTGTAAGTTTCAACAATTTGTGTGGGAGGATTGTATGCAGAACCCTGCCCAACCAGATGATAACATGCTTATTTAGGAAGATCAGAGATTACAAGAAGGTTCCAGATTATTTTTGTGTAGAAGTGGTTCTTAATTTGTTTTTGGTTATAGACCCCATTGAGAATCTAAGAGACACCATAAACACTTTCTCAGAAAAATGAAAGAAATTCACATTTACACAAAATGTGCATAAAAATTTAAAATCTACATGGACCCTTAAGGCCCTTCCATGTAGTCCAGAGTACATAATCAAGGGCTTTTAAAACATTTACTGTATATTAGAATCACTTGCATAGCTTTTTAGATGGCATAAGCTGAGTGTTGTCCCAGAAGGGTGTGAGATGGAATGTTGGAATGTGTACTTCTTATAAGTGCCCCATGAGATCCTGAAGTAGATGTTTCACAGACCACACTTAGTCAAACTCTGATTAGTCAATAGGCTAGGAATCTGTGAAGGAGAGAATTAGAGAGTACAGGCATAGAAAGGGAGAGATTGAAACTACCTAGAAATTCAAAAAAGCATATGATCCTTGAAAGCTGAAATTAGGGTGATTGACATGGAAAGAATGAATAGGGTAAAATAGAGGTGAAAAATCAGAGCTTTGCATATTGGAGAAGATAGGAGTTGAGCTCAGGACCTTGGAAGACAGCTGAGAACAATGGAAAGACATCAACAGGATAATCTGCCACCAGAACAATCCATTGTGATAAAGAAAAAAGAAAAATGAAAAAAAAAAAAAACTCAGTAAAGAGGTTCTTTAGATTATCTTTGAGGAGAGATTTCCTGATGATTCTCCTTATCCTCCTGAGCTACTTAAGCTAGAAAATGAAGATGGAATCTATCACACAGAAGTAATGAACACATCATCATCTACCACTTTCATTAATGAATGTTAGTATCCACCAAACTCGGTGAGGTTTTTTTTTTTTTTTTCCCCCTTTAACTATAGAGATGAGCAAATGGAGGTGTTGAGGGAAGAAGAAACTTGCCCAAGATCACCCAGTGAAACAGCACCTGTGTCAAGACCAGAACTTGACTTTCTGTGCCTTGGTCAATGTTCTTCCTTCTCCCTACTTGGTCTGATGATAAAATATTCCTTTAGACACAAAATATATCTCAAAGCAGCACAATATTTTTCAATTAAAATAATACATTGGCATATGTCACAAATTTTGTTTTTCATTCATTTAATGTAATAATGTAGTCATTACTAACAGCAAACTGGACAATATCAAGGCTTGTCTAAGTGCTTACGTGTTCCTGGACATAGAGCGGAGGATAAATTCAATTGCATTCTCAATGATCTCTGTGCCCAGGATGTGCAGAAATTTTGGGAAATCATCTGCGCTTTTGCCTGAGTCATCTGGCTTATCATCTGGCTTGCTATCGGGTTTCTCATCTGAAAAACAGAATAGAGGCTCAGAAATTATTTCCACGAATACGAAAGGAAAGTCTATTTTCTTTATAGGTAACTCATAGAACCCATTGTTCCCCAACTCACTGATTATGCTTATATTTATTGGAAATTTAATGCCTTTCTGATTAAAGAAAATTACATGCATTTTTCCATCAAAAATACAGACACCTTGATAAGTAGGTGGACATTAGCTCCATTTTGTGAATGAGAAAACTGAAGCTCACAGAGGATAAGTAACTTGCCCAGAGTTAAGTAGCTTATAAATGCCATTGCCAACATTGAAAAACTATAATCTGTCTGAAATTAAAATTTTAATTCTTAATTACTCTGTGATTAACTATACAGTCTTTGGCTGAAAAGTTATGATCTACCCCTATCTGTTGTAACATTAAAAACTGTACAATAAAATTATGACAGAGAGAAATACTGTCATTTTTGTGTCACTTAATAGTTTTACAAGGAGATTTGGTGGCATAATGCCTAAAGGCATTTGATTGTTTACTAGAAGTTTGGCAGTTCAAACCCACCAGCCACTCTGCAGAAGGAAGACTGGATAATCTACTTTCTTAAAAATTTACCACCTCAGAAACCCAAAGGGGCTTGCTATGAGTCAGATTCGATTCGGTGGCAGTGAGCTTCATTTCTAACAGTTTTGCAAATAGTGGTTTTATAATTAGTATGCGATTTTACCAGAAAACATTATTGCAGGTTATTCATTTTTTAGGTTACTGAACCAAGAAACTGAAAAGCCCATGTGACTTGCAGAAGATCTCACAAATGACAAGAGAAAAGATGGAACTGTAATTAATTGTAGACATTTTATACTTGACACCTTTTAAGTACTTTTTGGACTGAGAGCCAAAATTTCAGATTGAAATAGTTTAGTAATATCCCCTGGGGTCTTTGACATTTTGCTTAGTGGTCTTAATTCTTCAGGAAATGAGAAGGGATGGAAGTATGATAGTTAGCAGCTACATGTAGTTTCCAAGTATATACTGGTAACTGTGAGTACAAGGGTAGAACCATCCTCTATTTTTAAAGCTTGATAAATAATTAATAAATGAATGGGTTGCCTCCTACAATTCTACAACTCTAGTAGAGAATCTGGCCTTGTAAGTAAAGGTTCTGATAGGTAACTTCACTTTATCCATAGTAACACAGTTATTAACATCTCATCTAGTCAAGGTCTCATCCTCTACAGCTTTTGGTACTTCTCCTGTCACTGACGGAGTTGTAAGTAGTTAACTAATCCACATACTTTAGGCCAGAACCATCTTCTTTTAGTATTGTTGCGGCCGAATAAGTAGAGTTGTTGGATTTGTTAAATAAAAATATTTTCAAAATGTTCAGTTAAATTTTAATTTTACATAAGCAACCAATATTTTTTAGCATAAGAATGCCCATGCAATATTTGGGAAATACATAATTTATAGTTTATGCTATGTTGTTGTTGTTGTTATGTGCCGTCGAGTCAGCCCTGACTCATAGTGACCCCCCTTGGGTTTCCGAGGCAGTATCACTACGGAAGTAGGATTGCCCAACCTTCCTTCCGGGGAGTGGCTGCTGGGTTTGAACCACCAGCCTTCTGGTTAGCAGTCAAGTGCCTTAGCCACTATGCTACCAGAGCTCCCAGTTTATGCTATAAGATAATTCAAATTTACTTGGGCATTCTGTATTTTATTAGTCAACCCTACTTAACTCATGATATCCCTATACTTAGACAATGTTCTGAGTGACTCTGAATGAGAGAAATATAATTAGCTTTTTGTGTGGAGATTGTCAGGTTATATTAGAAGTCTTGCATCTATATTTTATCTTAAAACAGCAATTATCAGTTAAAGAGAAACAAAAGCATTTAATTCTGCAAACATTTATTGCTTACTGTGCCATAAGAAAAGGTGTGATGGAAGCACTTGTCTGTGTCCTGTAACCTAAATCAATATACCAATCACCAAGTATTTGTTCATTAAGTTGTTGTTTCTTTCATTCAATAACGATTATTATTATCATTGAACCTACTATTATGTACATCTGAGTCAGTGTGTGGTGTACCATTGGTGATTCACATCCACTCAGAGGCTTCTTGGAAGAAAGACTTGGTTATCTATTTCCAAAAGCTCACAGCCATTGAAAACACATGGGGTCACCACGAGCTGGAATTGAATTGACAACTGGGTTTTTTTGGTTTGGTTATTAAAATATATCCACCACCCATCTGTCAGTTTGTTGTACTGTGATGGTTTGCATGCTGCTATGATGCTGGAAGCTATGCTGCCCATATTTGAAATAGTAGTAGGGTCACTCATGGTGAGGAGTTTTCAGTGGAGCTTCCGGATAAGACAGATGAGGAAGAAAGGTCTGGTGATCTAATTCAGAATATTAGCCAATGGGTAATCTATGGATCACAGCAACAATATTGTTTAATATGGTGCTGGAAGATGAGGCCCCTTGTTTGGAGGCACGCAAAATAAGACAGTGGCCACAACAATGGACAAGAGCATACCACTAATTGTGAAGATAACACAGGACCAGACCAGGCAACATTTTGTTGTGTTGTATATGGGGTCCTCACGAGTCTGAGATGACTCAGTGGCAACCAACAACAAGTTATATGAATATCATATCCTAAAGGGTAACACAAAGAAGGACAAATATAGACAAGACCCTCACATAATGTGCAGAAAACCACAGAACCCTGAAAAGTAATTTGTTTTTATTAAAGGAAGGGCAAGGAAAGGAAACTCATAGTTGTGGTGTGCCTACTGTGCCTTCATCACATACTTTAACCCTCATTCAGTTAAGTGATGGTGTTACAATTTTACAGAAGAGAAAATAGGTACTTTAAGAAATTAATAGGCTCACCTAAACTCACACATCTAGCTTATAGCTGAGTCAAGGTTTGAACCACGTTTTCTTTTAATTCTGACTCTACAGAGCATGTTATTTATATCATAAAATGCTATCTCCTTTTCAATTGTTTTCTGAAAATATTATCCAGCTGCAAAACTATAATTCCTTACATGAATAGTGATTTTCTCCTGTGTTCCTATCTGTGTTCTTGTATAATCATTCAGCATTTATGACTTTTTCTTTTTATATCACACTAAATGCTAGCTTTTCAAAATGCCAGCAGCCTGGCATTAGAGTGTATTTGTGGAGACCACATTTTTGACTCCAGCTGTGTGACTAATTTGCAGAGTAATATGGTACAAATTGTTTCCTCTCTATATTGGACCACATGTATTTTGAGAGGTACTTGAGTGTAGTGGATCACAGACTTTGGAGTCCTAAGATTTAGTCTGATTCCTGTCTTCAACAAAATTTAGCTGAGTGGCCTTGCACACAACACTTAGCACTCTGCACCTCAGTTTCATTGTATGATTGTCAGGATTGAAAATAACGCCTATAGCAATTAGCATAGTACCTCAGGTAAGCTCACAACAAAAATTCACTCTATTATTCCTACTACTGTCAATTATTTAAGCAGCAAAATGATGTATAATTTTCTTTCTTTTCTACTGTTTTAGGAGTTAATGAAAAATTTAAAAACTGCTGTGATATCCTCAAGAAATTTCACATCCTAAAAACAAAATATCTATATCATAAATATTGAAATATCAAAAACATCTTTTCAAATATAACGTGGAATTGTCTTTACTTTAATTTCTATGTGATTGAGTTTCTTAGTGTGATTATAAAGTTCTGAACAAAAATAGTATTGCCTTTATAGTTTACAATACGATCACAAACATGTTCATTTTACCTGGTGACGCTGGTAGTTATCCCACTTTACAGATGAAGAAACTAAAGTTCAAAACAGTGAATTGATTTAGTCTCAGTTTCAGAGTTCATGAGAAACAGAGCCAGGATTGGAAACCTTGGTCTTTAAGTCACAGATCTCTCCTTTGACTTTACCACAGTGATTACTTTAGGAGTAAACACAACAGTCTCTGTGACCATCTCTAGAATAATTCTGTCGGAGTGTCTGCTTGTTTGCTCTGTTGGTGGACAGTCAGTGGCTAAGGGTGCATGCTCTATCAAGCTACATTTAGAACAATTCAAAAGACTCCATTATTAAATACTGTATTTGCATTATCTGTGTTTTCTGACCTATCATTCTGAATAGAGACAAGTCAATCACCAAACCAAACCAAACTCAGTGCCATTGAGTTGGGTTCAACATATAATGACCCCTCCTTGGGTTTCCAAGGCATTATCACTACAGAAGTAGATTGCCCAACCTTCCTTCTGAGTGAGACAAGTCAATAGGAGACCAAAAAAAAAAAAAAAAGAAAGAAAGAAAAGAGAGAGAATACTACTACATGTTGCCTTGTTGTCCTTTATGGGCTTGGAGCAGAGATGAAAGAAGTGGATGATTAGTTTTAATGGAATAAAAGTCTAGCACTGAGGTTTCAGTTTCAGGTCTGCTGCTTCTAACTGCATCTATGCTCAAGAAGATATCCCCTGCAAGCTCAGCATATTAATCCATGGAAAGTGAAATGATAAAACTACATTTTATTAAGTTATTCATCTACAATAGGGAAATGGTAACACTGTGCATGTTTACTTAGTAGGAGTACTATGTGAATAAAATGAGATAACACATGATAGAAATAGCAGTTCCTATTTATTGGTTGCTTTTCATGGACCAGGTCCTGTTTGAATTTGTTTGTCTCTTTTGTTGACTGTTTGTGATAACTTTTTTTAAGGAAGTCACTGTTAATATTCCCTTTTTAAATATGAGGCTAACATACTTAGAAAGACTAAATAACTTACCAAAGTTATAATTCCAGTTAGTGGCAGAGCTAGCTCTAGGAGGCTTATTCTAGAGCACATACTCTTAGCCTTTGAACATCATTAGTTATAATAAGAATCAAAATAAAGTAAACAAACAAAAAACACCATTCAACTCTCAAAGAACTTATAATGTAATAGTTCCACTCTCTCATATGCATATATATTTTAAAAATTATTCCATATCCTACATGTTCATTGAGCATAGAGCTTGCAAGTAGATTTTAATAAACCCTGGTTTTTCAGTGCTAGAAGAGATCTTACAGATCAAGCTGAAGGTATGCTTCTTTTCCCTAGTTTCTAGTCCAGTGTTCTTTTCATGGTGCAGAAGCCCTTCCCCCGCTTATGTTCTGAATGAGTGCAGCACTCTTCCTCCAAGCATGGCACAAAACCGCCCAATGCATGAGCTGTGGGGAGAAGCACTTACCTGCTTGGCAGGTGAGGATTAAGGCAAGCAAACCCAGGACAATTGTCAGCCGGAATAGTGAGACAGCCATTCCTGTAGCACTGGGTATCGGTGCAGATAAATTGCTCAGATTCATCAGAAGCTTTGCTCCATTTATAAGGCATTAAAAGGTGACATCATCTGCTGTGGAATTTAGGTTGTTGCACAAGATGCCTGAACTGCTTTCTTGGATCTCTATTAATAAGCCCTACTGATCTTTTAAACAAAAGTTTTTCCTATAGGGAAAGAAAAACCCTCTTGGTTTGTATCATGTGCATTTTTTATCCATGGTGTTGGAAAAACTCTTTGGGGGGGTAGTTCCAATGTCAGTACTGATAATTAGAGAAGCATCAGGCAGAATTACTATTTAGCACCCAACAGCGAAAAATAGATGGGATTGGTAGGTGTGTCTGCTTACAGTTTACAAATGACCATGTATACAACGTTGCTCCCTTCCCTATGCCCTCTGCTTTTTTGTCCACACTTAGAGCTAATCAAAGTCCCCACATAGGTGTGTACTTTCACAACACAATCCTCTGCTCATGCTAGTTCTTCTTCCAGAGATAACCTTCCCACCCTCTCCCTTTGCAGCATTCTGCTCAGTCCACAGGCTAAGGTACATATGCCCCCTCCTCTGTGAAACCTTCATGATAACTATTCCCCTCTGTTGCAGACTGAGTTAATTGCTCCATCACCTGTCATACAGAACCCTTGACCCACTACATCAGAACTAATTATTTTCAAAGTTCTCTTCTCCTTTAGCCTATGGATCTCTTAAGGGCAAAGCTGAATACTCAAGGACCCTAATATCATGCTTAGCATTTGTTATGGGTTGAATTGTCCCTCAAAATATGTGTTCGATCCTAACCCCCACACCTGTGGATGAAATCCTGTGTGGAAATAGATTTCCTTTGCTCAGTGCCTAAGACATTTGACTGCTAACTGGAAGGCTGGCAGTTCAAACCCACCAGCCACTCCTTGGAAAGAAGATTGGGCAATCTACTTCTGCTACCACCTCAGAAATCCAAGAAGGGGTCACTATGAGTTGGAGGTGATTTTTCTACAGAAGTAGATTACCTAATCTTCCTTCCAAGGCGTGGCTGGTGGGTTTGAACCACCAGCCTTCCGGTTAGCAGTCAAATGCCTTAGACACTACGCCACCAGAGTAGGATGTGTTTAAACTCTTCTGAGTTATAAAAAGAGAAGATTCTATACATAGAGACACACACTGGGGAAGACAGATGCCACATAAGGATCATCTACAAACTAAGGAAGAGGGAACCAGAAACACCTGGGACTATTTGGATTTTAAGCCTCCTGATTTGGATTTTAAGCCTCCATATCTTTGAGAAAATGAATTTCTATTCTTTAAAGCCTTACTTTATACTAGTGATGTTTGTGTTACAGCAGCACCAGGAAACTAACACAACTTTGGTCACAGTTTCGTCTTCATTTCTTCTGGAAGTTAATCTGATATCAAACAAAACTCTGGTCGGCCCTGAAATGTCCCTGTTTAAGCATCCCCACCAACAGATTGTCATCTTTGAGGGCAGGACTATCTTTTACAGAGTTGAATATATATCATTTGAGCCACTTTGTGAACGTCAAATAATAAATGAATTAAAATTAATAAATTTGCATTCAGTGAAAAAGAATGTTGACCTTGAGATCCTGCTATGTATTCCAGATGTAAGATGTCCCTCCTTTTGGATATGAGGACTCAAAGGGATAGAATTTGTCTCAAATGTAGATGACTCTGGTTACCCTGTGGAATCCTGTATGTTCAATTAACTGAGTTGAGATCTTTGAGGTACCTAGACTTATAGACTGACCAAAGTTTATTGATTATGAGTTTCAGAAGGCTTTCTTATAAATGATGAACCTGACTGAGGTCTAGAAAAGGGGGAGGCTTGTTCAGTTCACAGAGCCAAGACTAGTCCTCTTATTTACCATTTAAACTACTGCCATCTTATTTACCATTTAACCCATGGCCAAAGTCAATTCTGATTCATAGTCACCCCCATTGGATATCCAAGGTGGTAAATCTTTATGGAAGTAGATTGCTCCATTTTTTTTCCATAGCGTGGCTGGTGGGTTTGAACCCCCAACCTTCTGGTTAGCAGTCAAATACCTTAGGCACTACACCATGAGAACTCCTTATTTCCCATTTCCTACTTTTTATAAGGCATCCAACTGCTAATTGAGAGTGATCAGACAGCTTTTCTTGGAGACCTTGTAGAATGAATCTTGTCTCTTCTATACAAAGAGTTCTGATCTAGATGTAATTGTCCACATTAGAATGCTTCCAGCAAATCAGTCACATTTACTTCATCACAGTCACGTTTTATGACTGAGGATTGATTATGCTTAACTAACGGGCTACTTGGGGGCTGATATTCAACAGACCTCTGTTGGCTATAATCTGGACACTGCTCTGTGGCTGTTTGCTTGGGGAAAGGTAGCAGAACCTTTTAATTTGAATAGGCTTTGCACTCACAAGACTCATCTGCTCAGAATAGGGTATATTTTTCTGTTTAACCAAAAGAGCACTGGACAGGTAGGCAAATTCTGGTGACTCCGACTTAGGAGAGATACCTGTTATCTACTTTAGTATATGAGCCTAATGAGTTATGCAGACAAGTTCTGGAAAAGCAGCTTTTGGTGGTCTGGTGTTAAGGAGCTCTAGTGCCACAATGCCTAAGGCATTTGACTGCTAACCAGGAGGTTGGCAGTAAGGAAGAAGGGGCAATCTACTTCTGTAAAGATTTACTGCTTTGGAAACCCAGTGGGGTTACTATGCATTGGAATCAACTCAATAGCAGTGAGTTTGGTTTTAGTTTGGTTTACTCACTGCTGTCAAGTCGGATCTGACCCATAGCATCCTTCTTTGGGTTTCTGAGGCAGTATCACTATGGAAGTTGCTTGCCCAACCTTCCTTCTGAGGAGTGGCTAGTGAATTTGAACCGCCAGCCTTCTGGTTAGCAGTCAAATGCCTTAGGGACAACACCACCAGAGCTCCATAGTGCTGCCTGAGTGTCAGGTTAGAAACCAAAACCAAACCCACTGCCAATGAGTCGATTCTAACTCACAAGTATCCCTTTTGGGTTTCCAAGGCTGTAAATTTTTATGGAAGCAAGCTGCCTCATCTTTCTTCCATGGATGGCTGGTGGGAGTGTCAGGTTAGCTGGCTTCAAATTGTGTCAATACCATTCACTTGCTAGGTGACCTTGGTTGAATATACCCCATGCCCTGACCTTCAGTTTTCTTTTCCTGTGTGTTCTTATGTCTTCTCTTTTCTTGGTTTATTCCTCTTAATTTTAGAACTCAGCCAAAATCTCTTTCTTTCTCTCACTCTTTTTTTTTTTTTTGGCCAAAACTTCTGTGACCTTCTACTATAATTCAGATTGTACTATAATTATCTTTTATACACAATGTACATTTCCTTCTTAGCATTTAAAACTTATTTTTCATTTGCTTATTTGTTGTTTGTCTTCCCAAGACATGTTAAAGTCCAGAAGGGAAGAACTCTGGTCTGTTTTGTTTACTACTGTAACTTTAGTTTCTAGCATAGCAGCTTACATATAGAAAATATCTAATAAATATGAATTGAATTAACTTATAATTTTGAGACTAGAATCCTGGACTTCTGCAATAGTTGTGCTAATTATTACCTGTGTGATTATTGGCAAATGAATGATACTACTCTGAGTTTCAATTTCTTCATCTGTAAAATTGGGACCTAATATAATTTCTAGCCTATTCATCTACATCATTTTACATATATATGAGATAAAAAAAGATAAAATCCCTGATAAACTATAAATAATCTTTAATATGTGACATATTTATAGCAGTTAAGAAACTATGACTAATTCCCCATTGGCATAAACAAATGAATTTGACTTTAGTTCAAGTAAGAACTGAGATTATGAAAGCAGGATTTCATTTAAACTGGGAAGAGAAAGATGAAGTCTTTCTTTTTAGAATGACATTCCAGCTTGGTAAGAAGGTGCAGGAATGAGAAGAATAAGGAATGCTTTAGTTCTAATGCTCATTTCCATGCTTCATTGAAAAATCATCAGAAGGCTTCCTCAGGGTTGGAAATTTGGGTTGTAATCTCATGCAGAAATTTCAACATATATAACTATCACATCTTTTTCCCATAGAACAGCTAGTGGGTTTGATCCATAGATCTTTCAGCTAACAGCCAAGCCCCTTTAACCACTGTGCCAACAGGGCTTCTCTTTACTAAACATGCAATTTAGGGTCAGACAGAGCTGGATTCAAATTTCAACTTTGCCCCTTACAAGTTGTGTGACTTTGGAAATATTTCCTGCCTTGGATTCACTATAATAAAATAATTTCTCTGCCCAGGATTAATTGCTGGAATAAAATTGGAATAATGAGCCCTTTGGTGGTTGTTTGAGAACTAAGTGAGGTAACATGCAAACAGTACAGTGCTTTGCACATAGCATGTGATAAATACATGATATATTTGTCATTTGGTCTATTTCAGACTTCACAAGTTGGCAAAATTCTTCAACTTCCTCACCAACCACTAAAGCCAAAGATGAAGAAATTGAAGATTTTTTAACCAACTGCTTCTGTCTGAAATAAATTAAATATGCAATAAAGATGCATTGATAATTACTGGTGATTGAAAACAAAGAGAAAGCATTGGTAATTGGAAAATGTGGCTTTGGTGAAAGAAATGACATCAGATCTCATGACAGAATTTTGCAAGAATATTGACTTATAAATTGCAAATACCTTTTCTCAACAACATAAATAGCAATTATACACATGGACATCATCGGAAGGAATAGACAGGAATCAAATCAAATACATCTGTGGAAAGAGAAGATGGAGAAGCTAGATAAAATCAGTCAAAACAAGGCTGGGGCTTACTACAGAACAGATCATCAATTGCTCCTGTGTGAGTTCAACTTGAAGCTGAAGGAAATTGAAACAACTGCATGAGAGCAAACTATGACTTTGAGTATATCCCACCTGAGCTGAGAGACTACCTTAAGAATAGATTTGATGCATTGA